ATTTCCGGTAGGGGCAAGCCTTGTGTGAAATGGCAGCCCTGTACCAGTTCACTTCAAAACGGATGATTGCCGGCTTGAAACCGGGTGAAATTGGGTAATGTGAAATTCCCCAAATACTTTGGATATGTTCAGTTGCTTTGGGATGGGAGAGGGGAAAGGTCAAGGAACAAACTGTGGATCCAGGTAAGCACAATGAGGAGAGTTCTCTTGCTGGGGTGGGATGGTGTGTGTGGGGGGATGTTATCTGGATATTTCATCTTGGGCGGCCAGATGTCACTATATCTATCCCTTTATTCTGGGAGTCGACAACTAATGGCAGAAACAGTACCCACATAATGGCTTCAGTTATCTCACAGCAAGGGCTCAAGTTAGGGTTGCCAGGTCCCCCATGGCCACTGGTGGGGGACGGGGCATAAATCTGCCAGATTCCAGTTGGGAAACTCCTGCACAGACTGAACTTTCATGTCATCTCTTATCCTCACAAACACTATACTTGTTCAAGAGAAGCAGCTTGCACATATAACAGTGAGACACTAAGCGCACAGTTAGCAAGTGACACATGCAACGTGCACGGATTGTGAACAAAGCTCTAGAATTCCAGGGGATCCCCAAGTCCCACCTGGAGGCTGACAACCCTAACTCAAGCCCTTTTGATATAGTGGATATGGGGCAGCCTGCATATAGGAGATGTGGGACAGAGTGTGCTGGTGCTCTTTTTCATCTGTCACACATGCTACCAACACCTAATGCATCTGCCTCAACAGAAACAGAAAATGGGCCAGTGTAGAAAGAGGATGAAAAGATCCCACAAATCCATGGTATCCCAATAGCCTACAGAGAATAGCATTCAGTGAGAACTGGAGGAAAAGTTGACTATGGGGCACTGTATATCTTAAGTAAATCCCATATTGTTTCATTCAGCAATTCCTTCAGTGTTTCCTTCTAATGTTTTCATTGCTGTTTTTATTTTAGCTCGGGTTTTAATTGTTTTAATGATGTTATTTTTGATAGTGTTTAAGATGTGATTTTATTATGTACACTTTACTTTGTTAGCCACCTTGCCGGCCCTTATGAGGGCAGAAAGGTGGGATATAGGTAAAATAAATACAATTTATCAGATGTGTCAAAATTTGTGCTGTTTGTGCTCGAAATCTGCAGATGGTCATGACTGTATTTGTCCATTTTGCCATATATGGCTTTCTAAATAGTCTCTGTGGTTATCACACTCTGCTGTTTTGAAAGGCCCGGTGTCATTACTGCATTTTATTTTGCCAGCAAGGAGTACAAGCAGCAGAGGAAGCATCTGTTACCAAAGCCCGTAACTAGTACAAGGATCCCAGTGAAGTTGTGAGACAACATGCAAAAAGCAGGCAGCATTGGGGTTTTCATGAGAATACTCTTGACTTTCTTTCTGTTACAAAGAGGGAAACATTGTCCCTTGAGTACTAAGGTCACATATGATATTTAGGAATTACAATTAAAAACAACCCAAAAAATTTATCTGATCCCACTGTGCACATGGGCCCAGTTGTGCAACTCTTCGGATCCTAACTGCAATGAGGATACTGCTGTATAACCATGAGTTATTTTCTAAATATGTACTCTCTCCTCCTGTCCTCTGTTGAGATAGGTCATGAGAAATTCTCCCTCAATGTACAGAGATTTACCTTCTTTAATTCCAAAGCAGTGGCACCACTCCTGCAGAGAGATATGTTTGTCTTTGTCACTGTCGCACCTTTGGAAGAAGGGAGTTACGCAGTGCTCCATGGGAACAAGAGAGGCACGCAAAGGAGCAAGCTCGGAGTGTGTTAGCGTTCTGAAATTATAAAGGGTAGATATACATGTTATGAGCTTCTACCTCAACTGGTATCTCCTGCTGGACACAAACTGGCTCACAAGCCAAAATTCAGGCTGAACCTGGGCCGGTTCAGAGCTCAGGAACTGATGTTCGGGGAAGGCTGGTTCCGTTCGGCTGATTCAGTTCGGCTGTTCAGGGCCAACCATTTAACCCTTCAGTTTTGTTACCTGCCACAGCCTTATACCACCCCCCTTAGACCATACATACCCCAAACAGTCAGCTGCTTATTTTGGCCAGTAGATACCAACGGGTTAATTATACAATCATAGTGATGAAAGTTAATCTTGTAGTCACACTTTTTGCAGCCAAGCTAAACGTGTGCTGAAAGTTCTGCATCTAGAGCCCCAGTGATTTTTTAAAACTCAGTTCTCATGCACATGGGATCTTTGCATACCTGAGAACTCAGTTAAAATAACTGCTGTCTGCTCCAGACACACAACTCTCAGTATGGATCTGGTTTGGTGCCTTCATGGTGCACAAAACAGAAATAAGTCCAAATGCCTTTTATCTAGGAATAATATTGCATCATCTGCCTTTTTAAATCTCCCAACCTCTATTTTTTTAAAAAAAATTGTAATAGAATGTTGATAGAGATCAAATACAGTTCACATGCATTTCACAAGGATGAGTAAGAAGATAATAAGAGGTTTGGACTGAAACCACAGATATGAGGTACTACTAGGAGGAAAAGATTCAAAAGCGTATGCCTGTACTAGCAACTTAATCCCACATAAATACTGGGAGTATTATACAATCTCTGGAGTTAGAAGCCACATGATTGGAATTAGCAGGAGTGTCCTTCACAAGAGTCTTGTAGTCCGTCACGCCAGATCTTGGCAGGGATAAAAGTTAAAAAGCAGTACAGGCAGAAACGTGTTATACTGATGTAGAAAGTAGTATGATTCTTTCTGGTTGTGGCTATTTAATAGGTCTGGTAGCCAGAGGTCATTTCGGGGGGGAACGTGGGGGAACGCAGTTCCCCCGGGTGAGGTGCAGGGGGCGGGGCACATGACAAAACCCCGTCCCCTGCTTCCGGCCGCCCTGCTTCCAACCCTCATTCAGCCAGGAGGAGGCAGGAGAAGAAGGAGGGTAAGTTGCTTCCTCCCCGCCTCTCCCCACCCCTGCCTGCCTGGGGCCAGGGAGGGCCTTGGCGGGGCTTCCTCGCACTCCCGCTGGCCTTGCAGGTCCACCGCCGGGCCCCTGATGTCAGGGGATGTGGCATATGCTAATGAGTTATGCTAATGAGTTCCCCTAGCTCTTTTTCTACAAAATGACCCCTGCTGGTAGCTATTTTTGTCATTAGGTGCACAGAATAGGGTGGCTTGCCCACCAAAGGAATCTATTTTGACCAGTCACTCTTTGAGTGACTTGTGAATGGATGCCACATCTATCTTAATTTAAACTGAATTTTGAAATTAGAAATAGGACCAGTCCAAAGGTTTTTAATATCCTAGGTGATCTGTGACTTCCCTCACCAGATGACCCGGGCATGCATGTAGCCAGGCAGACAATGAGGCCCACTGCTACAGCTCTTTAGGTGGCATGAAACTGGCAGCTGCCCAGGCCTGTAGCTACGTTGGGGCTTTTGGGGGCTCATATAAAAGAGGAAGCAGCTTAAAATGGGTCTTAATCATTCTCAGGCTAATGATGTTAAAAACATCAGGCCCTGAGTCAAAAGCCTGGGTAAACAGAAAGGTTTTGGACTGGTGTCTGAAAGACTGAGTATCTACTTATTCAAACATTCAAGTTCATCAGTTATCTGCTGAGTAGGAGATAATGCACACAGAAACAAGTTGGAGAGCTAACACACACCCAAACAAAGCTTGCTCTTACCTGTCAGTAGGGTGCTGATCTAGCCGGTTAAAGTGCCAGTGAATGGGATAGGTGTATGTGCGGTAGTTTTTCTCAAAGTCACGTAGCAGAATTTCAGTGGGATGATAACCGGCCGGCAGCCGCTTTTCATCTAAGTAAATCTTTTTCACCTAGACATGCGCATGAGTGAAATCAGTATTGGGGGACAGCAAAATAACAACAGGTGGGATTTCAATCAGTTTCTTTCATTTCAGTTCCCTGAGTAGGATTGCTGGACCCTTCTGGTGGAGGTCCCCTGCCTCCAGGTTGACTGGGTTGCCAGGTCCCTCCTGGCAACCAATGAGGGACTGAGGTGGAATTTACTGGGAGCAGGAAGGAGGTCCAGCTGATGTGTAGCAACGTGCCTATGTCACTGCCCATGTGACTCGGAAGTGACATCATCACATCAGCAACGTCAGGGTGACTCTCTGGTATTTGGGCAAAAACTCTATGATAGAAGCTGTCACTGCAATGTTGGTTGGGCCTCCCTCTCACTCCTGGTAAGGCTCCACATCCCCCACCTATTGCCAGGAGGGACCTGGCAACTGTATTCCCGAGAAACATCCCTGTTGGGTAACAGTGATAACAGCGAATGTCCCCTTTGACCACTAAAAATGCTATGGTGGAGTGTCAGATTCGGACCCTTGCCTGGTCATTGGGTTAGTATTAGGGTTGCCAAATAGAAAAATCTTACCGGCGGGGGAGCGTCCTGTCGCTCCGGGAGCTGGCCGGGGACGTGCGCGCACACGCGCTTCCGGAGCATTTTTTTTTAGTTAGTATACATGCATGTCTGAGTCTCTGATGTACATAGCTTTGCTCTGCTGAATGTTATCACTATTGCTTTTGCCATTTCCTCCCCGCTTGCAGTTCCCAAGCCTCATGTAGCACCTGCTGGCTTTGTATCAATCTGTCAGCAAGGATCCTCCTCTGACATTCCTGAAGAGGAGAGATTGAGACAGGCCTGTGTGAGCGTAGATAGCTGCGCTTATGGAACACTGTGAAGTAGAGCCTCCCCCATGAAGGCTGTGAGAGATTCTTCGCTATTCTTATTTCTCATGGCCTTAGGAGAGTATCAACTGATAAACATTCTCACCAAGTTAATTGAACTGTCTTAACCTGCCTAATTAATACGTATCCATGAAGTATGTATGAAGGCTGGACCAGAGGTCCTGTAGTTCCTAATTCTGTAATGTCCCTCAGTTCTGTCAAAGCGTTTGACTTGTCTGCAACTTTCCTGACTTTCTACAATAAAGCCAATCAAAGGATTTATTGCGTCTGAGAGTTACTGCCATGTCTGACATGGGGACAGGGCTGGATTTAGATTTGCTGAGGCCCTAAGCTATACCAAACCCAGAGGCCCCCTACTGTTTTAAATTACATCAGCTGGTCTCAGAAAAATTTAAAATATATACGCCTTTTTAATATTTGAAATCATTTTTTATATTGTGTTTTTATTTGAGGCCCCAGCAGATTGCGAGGCCCTAAGCTGTAGCTTATTTAGCTTATGCGTAAATCCGGCACTGCATGGGGATTATGGGACTGCATGAACAAAATCCATGTCCAACAGGGGCTGTCACAAGGAGGGACTTGGGTAAGATTGAGCAAAAATCCTGGCTGGATCCAACCTCGCATTTGCAACATAGGCCTCAGACTTTCACTGGGGACCTCCTCAAGTGACTCCAAACATGTGAGTCCTCTCCCAGACTGTGGGAAGCCTCCAGGGCATACTAAGTCTACTTGTGTGAAGATGAATTTGGTCAATTTCAGAGCTTGTGTACACTGCAGTTTCCATTCTGGATTGCACTTTATAGACTGGAACTGGACTAGACAGGAATTACTATTTTCACAACTTTTCAGAATAGAATCCAGAGTTTCATACAATCGTATGAACATCCCCATCATCTAGCCCAGAATTGCCTCAGTAAGCATTTTTCCTAGCCCTGCTACTTGACATCCCTGGTGATGCTGGGGACTGAATGTGGGAACTTGCATATGCAAAGCTGGAGCTCTGCCTCTGAACTATTACCCCTAATTGTTCACCCTTCACTATGTAAAAACAATAGGAATTTTGTCTGGCATCTTAATAGAAACATAAGCTTGATTCTGTGAGGCACCAACTCAACATAGCAACTCATATCACTGTGTAATTAATAAGAATTAATATAGAGTAACCTTGGGAATAATGTGAACTATAGTGTGATAAAGGCATTTCTAATAGTAAGGCTTAAATGTAGGTATGCTCAAGCACCTGCCCATTTGGCTCACATTCTGCTTACCAGCAGTGAGCAGGGAGTCAATTTTTCATCAAGCTGTTTGGATGTATCCAAGTAAATTTGGGTGTGTTGATTCTGTTGCCTTCTCACATGATTACAGTGTTTCTTTACAGCACCTCCCCACACACTACTGGTCTTCCCCTGCCTCCAATTTTAAAAAGCATTACAAAAATTAGTGTGAGATTTTTGAATTCAGATTAATCATTTGGGTCTCTCTGTGTTGCTGGTGTCTGCCTATGAACTCAGCTAATTTTGCAATCATTTCTTAAATGGATGGCCTTGATTGTGGAGGTACAAAAAGCAGGAAATGCAATCTAGCCAATATTTCTCATATAAAGGATGCATTTGGCTGTGCACATGGAAAGAGGGGATGAACGGCAAGTGATTCTGCTGACTAAGTGGGATAAAGATGCCTCAATTGTCAGCTGAAAAAATTTAATTCTCAGACTGGGCAAAAGCCACCACAGGCTGTAGTAACTTGGCCCTGTAGTCCATGTGGCTACTGCACAAAGCAGCTTGAGATGGACTTTGAAACAACTATTAAGGTGATCCGATCATGAGCTTACTTGGCATACAGCCAAGGGAATCAAGCAAGGCAAGGTTGCCTGCTGGTTATGTACTTGCCAAGGTTCCCAGCAAGCCTAACAAAAATGTAAACTAACCAGGGGCATAGCCAGAAAACTTTGAGTGGTGAGGCACTGGGAAATCTGGGGGGGGGGCAGGGGAGAGAGAGAGATCCTGTCAGCAGGCAGGCAGAGAAGAGAAGGGTCTTTCCTTACCTGCCGGCTACTCTCGTTGCCTTGGCCACTACAGGAGAAGGAGAGTGACTGGCCAGTGCAACTAATACTCAGCAAGTACATGCTCTGTGCTACAGTAGCGGCAAGCCCCGCCCACCCACTACTGTGTTTCCCCGAAAATAAGACACTGTCTTATATTTATTTTTTCTCAAGAAGACACACTAGGGCTTATACCACAAATGCATAGAAATCCTGCTAGGGCTTATTTTTGGGGTAGGTCTTATTTTCGGGAAAACAGGGTACTGTAGCAGAGAGTGCATACTCGCTGAGTATTAGTTGCACCGGCCAGCTGGCTCTCCTTCTCCTATAGCGGCAAAAGCAAATGAGCACGGCCGGCAGGTACGGGCACGGGCAGGAGCAGTGGGAGTTGTGGGGTGTGGGCCACGAGTGAGGTGGCACCGCCCCTAAATGCCCCTCTGTGGCTACGGGCCTGAAACTAACCAATGGCATTAGGAGAGCTGTAAATATAGCCCCTATTTTTGATTATCTGCACACAACAACCTCTGATTTATAAATAATTTGTCAGCAATTGTTGTATGCCCGTTGTCATGATAAGAAAAATGTCTAACTACTAAAAGGTATTTTAATAACGGAGGAGGGAGGAGGGAGCAGATCCTGAACAAAGCTCTGCATGCAACACCCAGATACCAGTTGGTTTAACAATCATTCCCTCTTCCCAAGGAATACTGACAATTGTAGATCAGCTATGGGGTTAAAGATCCCTGAGAAAGAATTGTCCACCAAGCTACAATTACTGAGATTCTTCAGGTATAAACCTGATAAAAGATTTGTAGTGTAGATATGCCCTTCCGTGATCACCAGTTATATGCTCCCCTCCACTCTTTTTCTATTCATAACAAATATACATTTTTTCTGGTTAACAATGGCTCACTTTGTTCCTCTGTTTGTCTGTGAGAAATCCACCTTTGTCCAGATCCTGTTTGTAGAACTGCATGAGGACGTTCTTGAGCCAGTCTCTCATCCGGACAGGAAACTGTTCCATTTCATAATCAGTGCAAGGAGGAAGGTCTGTTCCAAAACACAAAAGGATATTCTGCTAATTCCTAGGTTCTCCAGTTCCAAAACGAAGGGATAAAATTTATTTAGGGGCAAATTCTCAGTCCAGCAGATAGATTCAGGTAGGTAGCCGTGCTATCCGTACAAGGAGGAAGGTCTGTTCCAAAACACAAAAGGATATTCTGCTAATTCCTAGGTTCTCCAGTTCCAAAACGAAGGGATAAAATTTATTTAGGGGCAAATTCTCAGTCCAGCAGATAGATTCAGGTAGGTAGCCGTGCTGGTCTGAAGCAACAGAACGAAGTTTAAGTCCAGTAGCACCTAAACGTTGCTGGTCTTAAAGGTGCCAATGGACTCAAACTTTGTTGAGTCCAGCAGGCCATTTCTTGCTAGGAAGCAAAAGATAGCCAGCTATAAGTTCAATGTAAGTTCAGGCATGTACTGACTGCTGTATTTCTGATGTCAATGGTTGAACATATTAAAACGTCTTCCATATTTGATGTTTGCATAAATACGCAAGGTGAATTCATACATTTCAAGCAGTTGGCTTTCATAGTCATACCTTAATAACACAAGAAGAGCCCTGCTCTATCAGACCAGTGATCCATCTAGTCCAGATTCCACTTTCACACACTTGCCAACCCGTTACCCTGGGGTCAAGAGACAGGGTATGGAGGCCAAGGCTTTCCACTATGGCTTGTAGCTACAGTTGCCAGACTACAGGTGGGGTCTGACAATCTCCCAGAATTACAACTGATCTCCGGACTACAGAGATCAGTTCCCTTTAAGAAAATGGCTGCTTTGGAGGGTGGACTCTATGGCTTTACACTCTGCTGAGGCCTCTCCGTAAGCCCCACCCTCCCCCAGGCTCCACCCCCAAATCACCAGAGATTTCCCAACTTGGAGTTGGTAACTCTACTTGTGGCAGAGCATGGGTTCCCCGTGAAAGCGGCCTTCTGCTGCCTCGCTTAAGTGCTTGTCCTGTGAGGAATGGAAGATCATTTTAGAGGATCCCATAAATGTTTTAGGAACCTCTAGGGGAGAACTGTGCCATACAAATGGGTCTTTTGAGAAGCTTTTGTGTTTTTGTGAGGGAGATCAGAAACACTCCTAGATTTATATTGGGAAGTTTTGTTCTTTAGGAGAGAACGATATAAAAATAGACCCTTACATTTGCAGGTTCCCATGTAATCCAGGTGCAGCTGGTGTCCCACTTTTGTCCCTTCGAGATGACACTTTGTGCCGAACAGCTGACACGTGTCCTCATACGTCTTATTATCCGTACCACAAACCTTACCGAAAAATAGAAAAATAGAAACAATCAATTAAAAAGCACTTATTGTAGCATTGTTTGCACAATGACAAACAAGCAGGATAGAAAAGTGCTCTCCAGGAAAACAAACACACACATAGTTACTTGCAGGTAGAGATGCCAGCCTCCAGGTAGGACTGGGGAAGGATCTCCTGGAATTATAGCTCATCTCCACACTACAGAGATCAGTTCCCCTGGAGAAAATGGCTGCTTTGGAGGGTGGATTCTTATGGCATTGCACCCCACTGAGGTCCCTCTCCTCCCCAGGCTCCACCCCCAAATCCTCAGGAGCTTCCCAACCTGGATCTGGCAACCTTACCCCCCCATCCCTCACTGGTGGCTGGGAGGACCTGACAATCCTTCTTGCAAGGAATATTCAAATGCTCTGCAGTTGCAAAGAATAGGAGAAGGCGTGGCCTTTACTGTCACAGAGGCACTGACCGTTCCCAAATATCAAAGGGCTTTACTTTGGGCTAGGCTAAATTCTTTCCCCTCTGCTCTTTTGGTGACTAGATTCCAAGGAGCACCCTTCTCAGATTATGTACATGTGGATCGGGAACAGCTGAAAGGCTATCCCGTATTTTCTTTGTTGGTGTGTTGACTGCCCCTTTGAGAGATCTGTGGGCAGCTGGTGATCGTTTCCAAGGTTCCCCTTGTTTCTATGCCTTTCCTGTTCACTGATACTGATACTGTTCACTGATACTGATAAAAGGTCTTCACTGATGTGCTTGTTGTTGCTTTTCTCTCAACAAACCAGTTACTGAAAATAGATAAAATTGTGTTGAACTTCTATCCTTTTTACCTGACATAGGTGGTTTGCTTGTTTTCTCCCACATGTGCCATCAGATAGGCTCGCCAGCTCTGAGTTGGCAATACCTTGGAGATTTTGGGGGTGGAGCCTGAGTGGTGGGTTTAGATTCAGAGGAATTAGCTGTGTTAGTCTGTTGCTGCAAAATAGTCCAAGAGTTCAAATAGCACCTTTAAGACTAACCTTTAAGACTAAGACTAACGAAGTGGTGGGTGTGGCCTTATGACACACTTCTGGTGATGTCAGGGGGTGTGGCATATGCTAATGAGTTCCGCTAATGAGTTCCCCTAGCTCTTTTTCTACGAAACAACCCCTGTGAAAGGCTGTCCGGTATTTTCTTTGATGGTGTGTTGACTGCCCCTTTGAGAGTTCTGTGGGCAGCTGGTGATCGTTTCCAAATTTCCCCTTGTTTCTATGCCTTTCCTGTTCACTGATACTGATCTCGATATTACTTTGGCTGGGGCTATATTTCTGGCTGTAGAGGCTTCTATGCGAGGATGGGCATCAAGGGTGGAATTTGTAAGACTGGTTCAGTCCGAGACTGCTGGGTCATTGCGTCGCTAAACAGAGAGAGCAAGACAGAGGAGTTTTGCACATGGCAAGCATGACTCTGAACTCTATGCCTGGTTCTCCACTTCTCAACCCGTCCTTGTTAGCTGTGCATTAAACAGCACCTTGAAGTGCAGGTGAAGTGAGATGGACAGTTCCAGGTTTTGAGGGGTCCCAGGCAGAGAATGCCTGGGCCCCCCTCCCTTCCGTGCTGCTGCACTCCCACTCTCACCCTTCTCCCCACCCACGAGCTTGCCCCTCCCCCAGCACCTGCCCATGCATCCTTCCCTTGCCTGGAAGCCCTTCTGCTGTCCACACTCCACACACGCATTGTTCCCTGATGGTGCTGGGCAGTACATGCAGTGGGAGTTGCCGTTGGTGACTTGCAGCTGCCGTATGGCTGCTAGTTCCCATTGGCAACTTGTGTAAAGTGGAACGTGTACTGCCTTGAGCTCTTTGGAGGAAGACTAGGATAAAAAAGTATGCATTACTGAAATCGACTAATCCCTAATCATAATACTAAGGTCCCTTAGAGAATTCTTCTATATATCAATATGAAGGGCTTTGGACATATTAAATCACTGTGCTAATAAAGCATATTATTGCTCAATAAGGCACTCTTTGCTTTAAAATTTAGTAGCTTTAATTCCTGAATTACTTACATAATTTTTTGTGGACGGACAAGTTGCAGGATCTTGGCAAACACAGCTGAGTTTTCCTTCTTCATCTGCCTGGCAGACCTTCCCAGTCTTACAATAGAAATCTCTACAAGGATCTAGGAGGGGAAATAAAAATATTTTTTCCCCAAGTGAAACAAGCAATATCTGAGCCAAGGTGAGAATAGTGGAGATGATACTGGAACCAAGGTGTCAACAAACATTTCCCAATGAGGTAAATAGTACATGGTAAGATCAGTACCAAAGGAGAAAAGGATCCTATAAGTTTGCAACTCAGTCCCATACGTGTTTACTCAGAATGATATCCTGTTGAATTTAGGCATCGGACAGTAGCCTAGGGTTGCCAACCTTTAGGTGGGGCCTGGAGAGATCCTGAAATTACAACTGATGTCTGGGCAATGGAGATCAGTTCTCCGAGACAAAATGGCTCCTTTGGAAGGTGGACTCTATGGAATTATACCCAGCTGAGATCCCTCCCCTTCCCAAACCCCACCCTCCCCAGGTTCCCAGGAAACTGGAGCTCACCCATACTAGATGCCCCCAGCTCTCATGGGACAATCCTCATTTCTTGGTAGGAAATGGGAGCTAACCTCTACCAGGATGCCCTTGGGTCTTAGGGGGAAATCTCCTATTTCTTGCTAGGAAATGGAAGATCACCCCAGCCACAATGGGAAATGTATAAGTACAATTTTATTCAGTAAGGAAATATGCAATTTCAGATTAATAATCCCCAAACTTGGTCACAGCTTTATATTTGACTCACCTGGAATGGGGGCCGTTGTACTTCCTTCATATGATTTCCCATCACTGTAGGGCTTGCCTGTCGATTTTGTCTTCCAAAGCATAAGTAAAAAGAAGCAGGTAAAAATACTATTAAAGAAGGAGCCTGTATAGCTCAGCCCACTCAAAGTCACTTCAATAGTTCACCTGAAGGACTAAAGTACCCTCCCAATAAAGCCGACACAGTTCAGTCCTCATCAGATTTATACCCTTCTAAATCTTTGGATGTTAATGGGTTTAGAAGGGCGTGGTTTCATTTCGGAGATATGATAAGATGGGGTTAGCCTGGGTCATCCAGATCAAGGCCCTAAACTTCTTAAATACTGATAACTAAGAATGCCCACATGTTGATTTTGTGTAGGCATAGTGACAGCACAGAATTTGGTATTGATTGCAGATTTCAGAATTCCAAAACAACTTTCTAGTCCTTATGAATGCAAAGATAGGATTGAAAGTGATATAAATAAGCGTGGGGTAGGGAACATTAGCAGGAGTTCAGGTGATCAGAAAGGTGGACTTTTCGTCCCTGCATAACTCTCTTTTCTACATCATTAGCAGAGGTAGAATACTCTATGCAAAAACAAATGATATGGCAGATATGTTGAATTTGCATAGTCTTGGATTTCTGCATGACCTTGGAACAGAATTTTAGGTTTTCATGTTTGTAAGTGCAGAGCATACAAAACACTGCACTTGCTATAGTCACCACAATGACACATTCAGAATTCTTGTGATCTTGGAAGCACTTACACTGTTTTCTAATTCAGCCATCTTCACAATGTTGACCTTAAGGCTTGTTGATACGTTGTGCTCTTTGTTCTCAGAACCATCCAACTCATCTTCCTTATTATAATCGGGCTCAGTCTGAACCAGTCCTTTAACGTTGATTTTTGGGTCCATAGTCCCACTTGGGGCGATATTTTCACCTCTTTTGATCTCTTCTCCTGGTCGTTCCTCCCGGTTAATACTTCCTTGTCCATTACTTTGTATTCTTTCACCCTCTTGGTACATCGCTTCTTGCCGACGTCTAAAGGAGTCATCGTGTTCCTCACTGCTCTTCTGGAAATCATTTTTTGACTCATCCTGCTTGTGAATTTGGCTACCAACTTCAATGGCCATCAAACCAGCAGCCCCTTGGGTGGTTTCCCTTGTCACCTGATCCTTGTGATCAGTCGAATTCTGGTTAATGTTTTGGAAAATATGTTCATCGCCCAATCTCAGCCATTCAGCATCTGGATTATTTTCATTAATCGTTCTTGAATTATTCAACTGCCCTCCTTTAAGGAGTTCTGCCGGCATGCTTTGATCATTCCCTTCTATCTGTTCATCATCCTTATCCTGATTTGTGGTTAGATGGAGGGGCTGATTGGAGTATCTTGGAGTGTCACCATGTTTGTTGTCCTTGTGGTCACTGCTGCGGAGATCTTCTGGAATGTTAAACTGCACTGTCTGTCTTCTGTCTCGGTAATTAATCCCACCCCATACTTCTGCCTCTTCGCCCTCTTGTTCCTCCTCCTCATCTTCTGCTTCCTCCTCCATCACAATCTGTTCCAACATTTTACTTCTTGCAAACATCTCAATTGCATTTTTGTTGTATTTCCACCCGTCTTCCTCCCATCCCTTATGCAGCTCCATGTCTGGATCCTCCGGGCCATCTTGGTAATAGTCAACGGTATCTCTTCGCTTAACTGGATAGTGCCCTCGATTAGAGCGGTGCAAGCTAGTGTCACTTCTAGCATCTGTATCCATACTGTTGGGTGCCACAGCTGGACCACTGTGTTGAATCAAAATATTACTACTTTCTCGACTTCTGTTTCTTGAGCGATCCCTGCTGTTTACTTTTGAACTGGTAACAGAATTGACTTCTTCAAGTACTTCTTGGAGTTCATCATCCCTCAATGCCTTGACCGGCTCCTCTTGATGGTTTTCATGCTCTTCAGTGTTGGCATTTTCTGCCTTGAGGTCTCTCAAGGAAGTATTGTGTCCCTTGTGAAGAACAATGAATACTTTAAAGACACAGTGATGGCAGAGTCACCAATAGAATAATATTGGGGAGGGATGTGGGGCATCAAATTTCATTGACTTTACTTCCCCAGCAGTGGACAGTCAGATATAATTCGGGGAAATTTACAAGTAGACCTTGATGAAGGTAATGGGCATTCTCAATACTTTGTCTCAGGTACCTAGTACACAGAGGTATACTGGCAAGGAACATAGAGGTTTCTCAATCTTAGCTATCATGGGTATTGATAAGAAATACCCTCCCCCATGAACTAGCTGAATACTTTTAAAAAATCCTTCTAAGCAGGGCTTTTTTTTTTTTTTTAAACTGGTGCTGGAACTCTCAAGAGGGAGATTACGTTTTCAATTTGTATACTGAAAACTCATGAATGTTTAAACATTTTAAAAAGAATTTTGTCAAAAAGTTTCCGGAACTCCATTCCAGCACATTCCCCCAGAAGAAAAACCCTGCTTCTAAGCATGTGGCTACCAGTCTTTGGTTGCAAACAGTTCCTTTGAGCCAAAAACTACTTATACGGTCATACAAGAGCACACCTCTTATATGCAGGCCCAACTCACCCCTCACCCCTACTAGAGTTATGCATAGTGTCGCCAACACTCAGCAAATGCCAGGAAATTTTGAGGGTTGTGCTCAGGTAGGGTGGAGTTGGGGGGGGGGAGGATGCAATGGTACTTTTGACTGATGCTCTAGGAATTTCTCCTAATCTCCGAGATAAAGACTACAGAGATATGGGGAAATTCCTAAAGCATCACTATGGAGGCTATTTTTGGGGCATTTTTTCTCCCATTCCTCAGTTTCTCAAAAGCAGGGGGTTGTGGCTGAGGATTGGGGTTTACCTACCACCAGCAAGCAAACAGCTAGCCTAGTTATGCAGAATCTTCAAATGGGTATGGAGGGAATGAGAAATACTTGGCCCAGAATCCAGTTTCAGTTTGGTGGGTCTGGATCATAAGCTAAACAAGGATACAGGATTAGTTTAGCCAATGATTTACCTGTAGTTGGCTACGGTTGGGCTCCAACCGGCCTTCTGAAAAGTTGGCAGCTGTTTTTGGAGGCTGTATGCCGTCCCATGATTTGGAAGACTTGTTCAGCCTCTCTGTCCATATCTTCTCAGTATGTTGTACCCAGGGAACAGCTGTTGGTTGGGAATTGTCTTGTAGGAACCTGAAATTTGACTGATGAACATAAACACTCTTTGTTATCCCTTGTGTTTTACAAGGAGGAATACCTCAGCTGTTATTAAAGTTAGGAAGAATCGTTCATCTTTGGGCAGAATGGAAGTTATTTTGCTTGAAAGAGAGACATTGGCCTTTTCTGCATTCTCATCTTACTCACTAAGGTTCTTTTTTTTGGGGGGGGGGTGTTTCCTGTTCTGCACGTTTTGCTCCCTCCAGTGGTCGATATGATATCAGACAGCTTTATTTCCAGCTTTTCTCCCTGAAGTTTAAATCCGCAGGGAGATTTGCTGGAAATAAAGCTGTTTCATATTGAATCAACCACCAGAGGGAGCAAACTTTGTGCAGAACAGGAACCCCCCCCTCCCAGAAGAAACAGGAATTTCACAGCGAGTAAAATGAGAATGTGAAAAAGCCCATAGATACAGAGATATATTTTATATGCCTTCAGTCTTGCACTGATATAGCATCATTGACTGGGAACTTTTCCAGTGCAGCATTTCAGAAATGAATCGAGCTTCTGCAAGATGACACATGTTCTTGCACAAATCCAGATCTCCTGTATGAAGGCCAGCTTCCTGGTGGAGTGTGCCTATGGAAGATTATTGTCACTGTGTTCCAAGATAACAGAGGCATGTCCTCATAAATGCTGGAGAAGCATGTTAGTGCTAAACTGGAAACACCAGAAACAAAACACCTGTCCCAAATGTTGCTTTTCTATTATTGCAGCTGTTGTGGTTTCTGCAGCAAAATTTACCCTGTCTGAGCTGCATTACTTGTACAGTTCCTGTATTTTTCTAGCCTGCTGGGCAGACTAACAAATCCCAGATAATGATCTGAAAGTGCCTGATATGGTTCTCCTCTTTAAAGCTCAGCAGGTTTGGGCTTGGCTATTATTCACCAGGGGTGGAGCTGCAGGAGGGAGGGGGATATGGCTGAATGGGCAGAGTGTGTGCCTTGCCTGCAGAAGGTTCCATGTTCAGTCCCAGCATATGTGATTCCCCAAGCAAAGTAACATTCCCCAGGGGAGTGAATAGCAGCAATCTCCCTACATGGGAACCTGCTAGTGTTCTGTAGCGGAGCAGATATTTCCCTTCGGGCAGAGATGCATTTTTTTTGGGGGGGGCACATTGCAAAAAACAAAAAACCCACCACCCTTCCTACCACACTTTTTGGCGATCATTTGTAGGGGAGGGAGACTTGTAAGGGGCCGAAAAGGTTTACATATTCCCCATTCCCCCCCCCAGCTATGCAAGTTTCCTTCTCCCCCAAAGAAACGACTTTCTTCCCAGTTTCTTTGTTCCCAGCAGTGGCAGCAGCACTCTATGCAAAACCCTCTGTGGTGGCACTATTTTTGTCTTTGCAAATCTTCCTTTTTTTGCAAAGAGTGAAGCTATCCCATAGCCCCTAATGTTTGGTTATGTACAAATACTGCTGGGGGGAATGAAGCAGTAACTTAACCATGTAGAGAAATATTATTGGCTATATAACTTTTTAATAGTTGGGGAAGGAAAAGAAGAAAATATATTGAGGAATTTCAGATGGACGATATAATCCGGAAGAGGAATGGTTCCCAAACGGTTTCTGGTCTGTCATTTCAGACAGAACCGTTTTAGAACCAGTTCCCTACCGGAATATATTTGTAATTTCACAAACAAACGCTTCTGTCCCATTTAGGAAACGGGGCTGAAGCATTTTACCTGTCAACCACTTCCAAGTAGTCTTCAGTTTCCTCTCCCGGCTCTGATACACCTTTTCCCCACCGTTTTTCGCCCGCGCGGGCGATCTCCGGCTTTTTTTTTTTGAATGTTCACATTGGAATGCATGGAGTGTTGTGTTATAGCACTATAGTGCCATAGTGCTCTAAAGCGAATGTTAAAAAAAAAAAGCCGGAGATCGCCCGCGTGGGCGAAAAACGGCGCGGGGAAAGTGGGGAAAAGTGGTGCAGTCTGAAATGGCAAACCGCTTCAGATCCAGCTCTTTACCGGAAGGGGAAAGCCATGTGGGAAATGGAAGCCCTATACCGTTTTACTCCACGACAAATCAAAAACGGCTTCAAAACGGGTTAAAAAGGGTAATGTGGAATTCCTCATTATCTCATAACCCAAAAGCTTTACACATCACTACTTGAATCAGCCTTAGTAACTAATGCTGCAGTTAGCAATTTCAGTACTCTGGAGTTAATTTTTATATCTCCATCCTCAAAGCTCCAGGAGTTAACCAACCTGGAGCTGGCCACCCCACCACCAATGGCTTGAGAGTGTGCTGGAGCAATCAGACAGGGGAAAGTCTATCTGTAGCCTGTCGACAAGCATTAGGACGGACTTTCCCCGGTGTCTTTTAACTCCGTTTCTGTGGCAGAGTGGCCACGACTGCGGGACCTTTCCCAGATATTGCTGTCGGATTGTGCCCTTTAGATCCATCAGGCATTTGCAGCTATGTCGGATCTAAAGGCCCGTGTGACCCCAACCACAGGAGATCTGGCAAACCTAGTGGTAATTCCTAAACGAGTGTCGCTTAAATTCTTGTGATACTTGTGATACACAGATGCAATGGTGGATAATGAGTACTCTCGATCAGAACACCAATTCCCCACAAACAACACATAGCAGGCGATCAGTGCTCCGACTACTGCCTGTCCACATGGACTAGCATAGAAGGAAAAGCTACTGCAGGGTCCCCAGCCTTTTTGACCCTATGGGCACCTTTGGAATTCCGACCCAGGGTTGTGGGCACAACAACGAAATGGCTGCTGCAGGAGGCAGAGCCAACCACAGAAAGTCAGAGAGAGGGGTCATGCGCGACTCTCAGAGGACCTCTTCAGCATTTAAGAAAGATGCTCCGTTTAACAGGACGCCTTTTCATCTGCACAGCCCATCAGAATCCCTGCTGGTATAACCCCACCTGGCTCTGCCCACTTTCTAAAAACTCTTGGCGGGCACCAGGAAAGGTGTTGGTGGGCACCCTGGTACTCACAGGCACCAAACTGGGGACCCCTGAGCTACTGAGTCAAAACAGCAATAGTAACACCAAACAGCTGTGTTTGAATTAAATACTTCCCATTGTCCTTCCCCTGTCTCCATTACTGTTTGGGATAATGTGTAGAAACCCATATACAAAAACATTATTGCATTTAATATTCCCATAATGTCCTTTATATAATTGTACATGTTATGTCTACTCAGGGGTCATTTCCTGCAGGAGCTCCGGCAGTAAAGAGCCTAGGGGGTGGGCACATGCAACAAGCCCCACCCCCTGCTCCCAGCAGCCCTCAGTCAGAGCAAGAAGCAGCCAGGTAAGTAGCAGAGCTCCCCCTGGCTCCCCGGTCCAAAACAGTCCAGTGGCTCCTTCAGGTACAAGCTCTCCCTCCTCTGCGAGGACAGATCCCTCCCCCAATAGATAACAATCCAAAACAGTCCAGTGGAGCCTGAGTGGTGGGTGTTGCCTTCTGACACACTTCCGGTGAGGACAGGGTGTGTGGCATATGCAAATAAGTTATGCTAATGGGTTATGCTAATGAGCTCCTGCACCTCTTTTTCTACTAAATGACC